AGTGACCTGTAAGGAGGACTGTTAGACATCGTAGTTCATCCCTACTGTAGTCCAACAACTGTTTGGAATCAAGCTTCGAAGGGTGAATAAACGCCTTGGGAGTGAGCCAATCCTGGAAGATTCTGCCAGAAGTCCATAACTCTTCTTGCCATCCAGGTGTTCAGTGTTTGTTTGGCAAAGCCCAAAGCGATGCCAATGACAGGTTTTGGTCCAATGTAGCCGCTTGCGGCACCCTCCTTTGCAAGAGAGTCAGCAGCTTTATTGCCTTCCAGGCCTAGTCTTTCTATCGAGGAGGGTCTTTTTTGGTAGTTTGCTGGAGCCAAGAGCTTCCAACGTCGCTTGACTGTCCGAGAATATTTTTATTGACTCGTGAGTCAATAATTCACACAATTCAATAGCGTAAATTTCCGCTTGAAATACAGTCGCATAAGTTCCTAGGCAGGTAGATAACTCTGTCCTGGGTCTGCGACTGGAAACACCTGCACCAGAACCGGAAGGTTCTATCTACTATACAACTATCTATCTACAACTATCTGATCTTAATATTTCCTTCTCCCGGAGGATCCAGTCCTCTTTACTGGGGAATAGTACTTTATAAGGCAGTTCGTAGTTGACAGTTGGAGGCATAAAGTCAGAGGTCATACTAGAGGTCGTAAATGTTCCATCGGGTCTTTTAAGCGACCTAATTTCAGCAGTCGACTCTCTAGAGAGAATCTTGTGAAAATTCTTCCAAGACTCCCGTTTTGCCTTTCTAATTTCTTTGTTGTAAGTCGTTAGAGTGGTTTTATAAAGCTCCCAGAAACAAGAAAAAACTTACTGTATGAGAGCAAGAAGATATACATGGCTTTTCATGATGAGCGTTAATTAGCCGTTTCTGACAAACTATTTAACGGATCAACCTGAAAATTTCACAGTATGCATAAATCAATATGACCTACACGCCTAAAATATTCAAGACGAAGCGGCGTTGCCGCTTCTACTATAAAGTAGCGGCTCCTTTGATTTTTCAAATGGAACACCCCGTATATAATATCCTATTATGATTCATTATCACTTTGTCAACAAATTCATATACTAATTCCCTATACCTATCTATTACCGTTTAGAAGATATAAAGTAATTTCGATATTTTTTATACCAAACATGAACTTTTATAAATGCTGATAATCTTGAACTCTCTTGCACTAAAACGATCAAATTTGAAATGGAGTGGAGTGATACTATGAGGATCTTCACTCCGAGTCATATTTTCATTTACCT